TATGTCTCAAAAAGGAGGAAAAGGATGGGGTGCAAGGGAAGGGGTGGAGGGTGTGTGTATATATATATATATAAAATGTGTGTGTATATATAATGTGTGTATATATGTATATAATGTGTGTATATATGTGTGTATATATAATATGTGTATGTATATATGTGTGTATATATGTATATATGTGTATATATAATATGTGTGTATATGTATATGTGTGTATATATAATATGTGTATATACATGTAATGTATGTGTATATATAACGTGTGTATATATGTGTATATGTAATATGTGTGTATATATAATATGTGTGTATATATGTAATATGTGTGTATATAACATGTGTGTATATAACATGTATATATAATATGTGTGTATATGTGTGTGTATATGTAATATGTGTGTATATATAACATGTGTGTATATATAATATGTATGTATATATAATGTGTGTGTATATATAATGTGTGTGTATATATGTGTGATATGTGTATATATATATGTAATATGTGTGTATATATAACATGTGTGTATATATGTGTGTGTATATATAATATGTGTGTATATATAATATGTGTGCATATATATTCAATGTCTTTCCAGAATATGCTAATATTCTTGTTTTATTTGCTTCTCGACACATTAAGAATCACTGATTTATATCTCCACTTTTTATCTTTTTTCATACTTTTTACGTTTCTCTTGCCATTACTTGTCTAAATTGAAAAGCAACATCGATGTCTAGTTCGCTGTTAGTAAGACTGAAGCATCAACCTCAAGCCATTCTGTTGTGTACACTAGGATAATTAGATGTGCTTAGAGAAGTCTTTCTGTAACATTTATCTTCTAAAATGTTGGAATCTGAAAATGCATTAAACACTTTTGATAGATTTTTCTGAAAACAACCAGCCAACAAACAAAAAGGTAAGACAGACGCTTGGTACAGGGCTTAGCAGCAGACCGTAAGGGTGCACTGGATACAGACCCTGATACTGAAGGAGTTACAGTCTTAGAAGTGGAGAGAAGCAGTCGGAGTGAAGGTGGGAGGCCACACACTGACCGCATCACACATTCCACCTGCACTGAGAGGTAGAGAGGCAGCTTTTGAATGTCTTCTCTTTCTAAATATGTGCTCAGCTTCACCAACAGCTCTGTAGGACAAAGATCACTTTTATCCTTTGACGTATCCCTCAAAGGCCAAATATCAGTCTGATCTATGCTATTCCTCCTACAAGAGTTGGGTGCTGCTGATAGGTTTCACATATGTAATGCTTCATTTTCCACAGCAGAGATGAGGAACTTTGAATAACATGAGGCGAGAAAACATATGAAGCACTGTACAGGACAAATTAGCGACCATCCATTCTCTTCAGAGCACACAAACTTATATGTATCTGTCAGTTTTCTTATTCAATAACTAACCATTGCGAATGCTTAAGCTAATTGAGCTAAACAAGATTTTAACATCGTTTGGTAAAAAGCAAGACCTATTATATATGTATAAATTTAAAAAGAAATCACATAAAAACTGACTCAAACTGAAGAATTTAGTCTACAATTTAAAACAGGTAGACCTCTCAAACTGTGAACTTGAAGTAGGAAGGCATATTGCAATTAGGAGCAACACTGTACTCGCTGTAAACCATTTTCCAAACTTAGATGTTTTAAAAGCCAGATTAACGAAACAATTGGAAATGTTTTTGCCTACTCGATAGTAGCTAGCAGATGCTAGACATTCATTTCTACTTAGACATTGAGATGATGCTTTCCAGACAGCTTTTAATCTTTGAAATAGTTGGACTTAAACTTCTAAACAAAACTCTTTATTTACTAGCCTGCCGGAGAGACTCCTTAACGTATTGAGACCGTGAGCAAACAAAAGAAACACAAGGAAATACTTCTGAAAAGAATGTAAAATAATCATACAACATTTGTGTAGTAAATTGTTTCTTAATGGAATATTTTAAAAGAAATTTTAGTTTTCGTATGCAAAGAAATTTTTTTCCTCTTGTGAACATCTGCTATGAAGAGAAAGTGATTATCAGAAAATATATAATGTTAATGAAGCTCTAATTAATAATATGCACTTGGCATTTCCATGACAACCCTAAACATATTCTTTGTATTCTGGCTCCAGTTTTAAAATTTGACATTTATAGTTCCTTAGATTTTTCCCCCCATGATGAAATACTGTGTTATAGAACAATAAGTTACTGGTAGTCACTTGGCAAATCATTTGCCTATTACTTTAAATCACTGTAGATATTAATAATTTAAAGTGGCTTTGGCTATTAAGTCATTTAAAAGTTGTTTTTCAGAAAATAAAATTTAGATCATGAATAAAATAGAATCCATAAAGTATAGGTGAATTTAGGACAAAAATCAAATGAACCTTATTTTTCATTGGAGATTTATATTGGATTTAGTTTCACTATGTAGTCATGCAATCCAATGACTTCTGATAATTTTTGAAGGAACCATTCAAACTATTTTCAAGAAAAATAAGAGTGTTTTCTAGTGGTGACACAGTGAAAAGCCATTGTGTCCGGTTGGCAGAAGAAAACAGGAGAGAAGCATTCCTAACCTGGTCTTCGTACTGTTCCAGCATCGTTTTAATTTCTTCACATTTGAACTTAAACTTCTAAACAAATATTTTTAATTTACTAGGATGCCTCGGAGCTTCTTCGACATTCATCAGACATGACTGAGCACGAGAAAGACTAGCTACAATGACAAACATAAACCCAAAGGACAAGGGTTTGAACTAGGCACCGGAAATGTGTCCATGGGACAGGAAGTCGTTCCTACAACAGATGTGGAAGTAAAAGGCAGCATCTCTCAGCTATTTGCTTGGAGCAAACACCTTGAGAGCACAGAGGACACACATTGCCTGACTTAAACCATGTTTCAAATTCTTTCTCAGCTGAGGATTTCAGCGTAGCTTAGTGTGAGTAGCAGATTAAACATTTCCTTCCTTGTTTCCCTCTAGCCGAAGGCAGAATCAGTCACTAGTCACTACTATAAATTATTCATAGCAACAACACAGTAATAAGTTTCTGCAGCATAAAAACAGCAAGAAAAATGCACATGAACGCACAGATATAATCCTGACCCGAAACTAAAATGAATGCAAATGGGGACCCCAGAAAAATCCATAAATTTGTCTTTTTTTTTTTTTACAACAGTGATCCAGTCCAAGACAGAGAGGAATGATAAAAGATTGGGGAGCCTGCCATAGCAACAGGGGCAGAAGGACACTTGGTAAGTCCTAAATGACATCTTCCCCGGTGGAAGGAAATCTTTCTTCTGGATGCTCCTGAGGCAACTGGTTTAATTTTAAAGAAGCAGAACGAGAAATCAACGCACAGTGATAGCAGCAGAGAGCACATTGTCAGGGAGGAGAAGTGGAACCAGAGCAGGTAGCCCACTTCAAACTCATAATCACGAACTAGCAAATGTTGACATCTCCAAATTTGGGGCCACTCCCTGAACCTGAAGCTACTTTATAGAAACTGCCACCTGTAATTTGGGCATGAACACTTACTACTATTGCTAGAAAACCTAATGTTTAACCATAGCAGATAATTTAGCAGGAGAGCTACACGTTTTGAAGCACACACACCCCCCCCACACACACACATGGGCTGTCTAACAGGGTTATTATTTTAGGGTTTTAGTTTTTAAACAATAACCAAGAAACAACAGGCATCAAGGGTTGGGGGTTGTTTGTTTTCTTGCTTGCTTGTTTTTGAGACTTGGAAAGTTGATCTGGAAATTGCTATGTAGTCAAGGCTTGTTTTAAACTCCTGATCCCTTGCCTGCCTCCTCTGAGAATACAGATGTGTGTGTGTGTGTGTGTGTGTGTGTGTGTGTGTGTGTGTGTGCCTAAGCCTTGCTTAAGGGTTTTCACAACTACAAGAGACCTTAGGAGCAGAAAGGAGCAGTTAAGAGTTGCTAAAAGCCACCCTCACATCACACAGTGAGTCTCCATTCCCTTTTCCCTGTGCCTCCCGGCTTTGCCCTGCTGAGGAAGTGGGGTGGGTAATAAAAGAGGGTCCCAGGAAACTAACAGGGAATCTACACACCTGAGGGGAGATTGCCCAAATAGGACCTTTCTAGCTAGGGAAACACCAGAGGGGCCAGCAACCTGGCAGATGGTTTTCGTTTTATTTGTTTGCTTTTAACTCCAGAACTTGGGAGGAAAAATAAAACCTGAGGACATTGGCAAACAACGCATCAGTAGCCAGGTCTGTGATGCTTGCCCGAAAGACAGTCCTAGAGTAGAGGGCTTGGGAAAGGTGGGCTGCAGTCTGGAGACCACAGCACCCTGGCACTGTGGAGACACTGAGCTGGACCTCTAAGAGAAATGGAAAACGGGATGCTGGTGGAGAAAGAGGAGTGGAGGGACCCCTCTAAGTTCCATTCAGTTCTGGAAACAGAGACCTTAGCTAAAATCCTGCCTCAACTGCCGACGTTCACAGGCCAAAGTTCTGGCAGTTGGAGTGTAGTGGCCCGCTTTCCCCCATCACTTTGAGGGCTCCTGGGAAGACTTCAGAGTGCTTAAACAGTCCAGCTGCTTCAGTGTATGATGCCAAGGACCACTGGTAGAGTTAGCAGGGTAGAGGGAAGGGGAGAGAAACAACGTATAAGGAACACAGAGAAAGAGAGAGGTTGAGAACACCCTTAACCATCTCAAAACAGCATTGACGTTCAAATGGCCAGTCACACAGGCTTCCCATTCAGACCGCGTTTGGTTAAGACGGAGTTACTTAAAAGCTTGGAGGACAAAGTTTGCTGGCTTGCTTCTCAAACGTTTTAAAAATCTGGACTGCGTTGCAAATAAGCCCACACCATTCCTGAAGCCCCTCACCTGATCCGGGGGAAGGGGACTGGGTAGGAATGTGGTCCATGGACTGCATTTGAGGAACGTTCTTAGAACTAGCCCTTAAGCCATCCCCGCCCTCCGGTCGTTCCCAGCTGGCTGGGGGATGAGCTGGGACTCACCGCGCCCGGGCGCTGCGCCCTGGTCCCGCGCGCTGACCGCGCTGGTGCTGAGCTCTGGGTTTGCTGGGCTGGTTCTCTCCCCTCCGGACCAGTCCAGCCGCTCCCCGTCCACCTTCCACCGCGGGCGAGGCTCAGTTCCTAGTTGCGTGCGGGCCCATCCCTCTGCCACTCACGGCTGCCAGGAGCAGCTGCAGTTCACCGTGAGGCAGCTCCAAATTTATAGCAAAGGGGCGTTGCTGCTCCTTTTGGCTCCAAGGAAAAAGCTGTTTTGCATTCCCTCCTCTGCTCCGCCCCAGAAGACCCCTCCCGGGACCAACACCCCCCCCCCTGCAGATTCTGAGGCTCAGACCATGATGCTACAGTCATCCACAGCCACCTAGGAGATCCAGGCTCACCTGGAACCCCGCATCCGGTCCTGAGGGGGCCTGTGAAGAGGGAGAGAGCTGGGTGGGGGCGAGGAACATTAATTACCACAAAATTTGCTTTTCTTTTTTCTTTATTTTACCCTTCCTTCCTTCCTTCCTTCCTTCCTTCCTTCCTTCCTTCCTTTCTTTCTTTCTTTCTTTCTTTCTTTCTTTCTTTCTTTCTTTCTTTTGAAAAAAACTTGCAAGGAAGAATTAGGGAACTTTCTTGTCTTTTCTGGTACTAACTCAAACTTTGGCGATGCTGTGGGTCACTGAGTGAATCAATTTCAGAGCTGTGCAAAATGAAGGCATGGTTTTTCATGTTTTATAGGCTAGTTGAGTTGTATTTATTAAAATTATTATTAAAGTATTAAAAAGTCACTAACTTCACATTTAATGTTGAATGACCCTGTTTCTGTGTCTAAGATCAGGAATAAAGCCTGGTGTGATGGCACAAGTCTTAATCCCCCCACTAGGGAGGCAGACGCAATTGGATCTCACATAGATGAGATCCAGGCCAGCTTGATCTACATAGTGAACTCCAGGTCAGCTGTGACAAGAGGGAGACCCTGTCTCAAAAATCAAAACCAAAACCAAATAAACAAAATGATTAGGAACAAGATAAGGATGCCTGGTCTCCCCGCTTGTATCCAACTTTTTACTTAGGCAAAAGAAAGAAATTGGAAAAATCAAGAAAGAAACTAAAACCTTGTCTATTTGCAGTTGACATGCCATCTCTCTAGCCCAGACAAAGTGTCCTAATATAAGATTAGTCTACAAAAAATTATTTGTATTTTTAAGCACTAAGAATGCACAATTTAAAAAATGAAATTGGGGGGCTGGAGAGATGGCTCAGTGGTTAAGAGCACTGGCTGCTCTTGCAGAGGACCTGGGTTTGATTCCCAGCACCTACATAGTGGTTAACAGCACCCTTAACTCCAGTTCTAGGGGATCTGATGCCCTCTTCTGATCTCCATGGACACTGCACTCACTACACAGGTACTCTTACATGCATGCACACAATACACTCATACACATAAAATAAAAATAATAAATAAAATATTTTTTAATGAAATTAGGCATGGTAACTCAAGCTTGTAATTCTAGCACCCTAAAGGCAGAAGCAGGAAGGTTGCTGCAAGTCTGAGATCAGCCTGGACTACACAATGAATTCTAGGCTAGCCTAGGCTGCCATCTCTCCAAAAATTAAAGTAAGGTAGCAATTCCATTTTCCATTGGCAACGAGAATAAGAAGGCTTAGAAATAAATTTGACTAAAAGGGTGCAAAGAGCCTGGGGGCACTGCTCAGTGGTAGCTAGAATGCTTATTTCACATGGGTAGGGACCTGCTTCAGTTCCAGACACTGGAATATAAAACACATAAAACTTGGACCCTTCCAAACAACAGCAGAAAACTTTCATCGAAATAAATTAAATTAGATCAAAATAAATGGAATGACACAATATTAATATACCAAAGATATAATATTATAAAATGGCACCACTAGGGGGAACCCTAGATATCTACAAATTGAACAAAATTCATCTAAAATTCCAACAAGCTGCTTTTTAATAGAAATGAACAAAGTAGTCCCAAATTTGGAATGTGACTCAGAATAGTCAAAACCATTCTGCAGAAGACTGAGGTGTATGATTCCTACTTCTGAATGTCTAAGTTTATTACCAAGTTACAATAACCAGGACAGTGCAGTGCTGGCACAGATATGGAACTCTAAAACAGTGAAAAAGAATTAAGTCCATAAATTAAACCAAGACAATCCTAAGGGAGAATTTAAAAAATGGGACTGGAACAACTGGCTACCGAGCTGCAAAAGAATGCAGTTGTACCATTTACAACAGCGTGCCCAAAAAGTCATTTAAATGGATCATAGACTTTAGTGCAAGATTTAAAAGTATGAACTCAGGACACATAGTAGTAATGTTTGTGTACTTGAGCATGACACCACAACCACAGGTAACATAAGAAAAGTGGTATATTAGATGTCACCAACATTACAAACCTCTGTGCTTTCTGTCTAACAGAAAAGTTAGAAAACACACCGAATATGAAAAGATACTTGCAAAGACATACTTGATAAGATTTTATATTCAGAACACCACAAGACACTAAAGATTGCACAAAACATTTTTTAAAGAAGACAGACAAATGGACAATAAGCAGATAAAAAGACAACATTGGTACTTGCCAGGGAAATGCAACTCAAAACACAATGAAATATGACTTCATACCTACTACGGCAGCTGTGGAAAAATCGGAGGCCGCATAGAGCGTTGTAGAGAATGTAACATAGTGTAGGTTCTTGGAAAAGCACTTTGGTGATTCATTAAAATGTGAAGCATAAGGCTCTATGTCTCAGCAACTCCATTCTGAGGTGCATATCCATGATGAATGAAAATATAAGCCCCCACAAAGATATAGACATGAAAATATATAACACTATCATTCATTATTGACCAGAGCAGAAACTATTCAAATACCTATCAAATGATTAGTGGATAGAACATGAGGTGTATTCATATCATGGGATGTTTTTCAGCAATTCAAGGTAATAGGATATATATTATAGCATACGTGAACTTGGAAAATAATTGTGCTAAGTGAAAGAAACCAGTCACAAAAGACAGTGTTGGATGATGTCATTTATATTAAATGTCTAGGTTGGATGATGTCATTTATATTAAATGCCTAGGTTGGATGATTTCATTTATATTAAATGCCTAGGAAAGGCATATTGTGGGGTATTTTGACTTTCCAGGGCTGAGAATGAAGAGGTAGGAAGGACTAAGTTCAGGGTTTGTTTTGTGTATGATGGAATATAAATTTGATTTCAGTGATAGTCACACAGCTTTGCAAGAGTATCCAAACCACTGAGCATGGAAGACTGATGTGGCACGTCAGCCTTAGGTGTGCTGCTCTGCTCTAAGCTGGAAAAGAGACGGCAGCGCACTTCACTGGCTTGTAGCTTTGAAGCACAGCCCTGACCTTACAGTTCACTACACTTCGGAGATGCCTAACGCACGATCCCTACAAATATGAAAATGTCACCCTCATGTGAGACTGCCATTGCGTAATTTATTTTAGAAGGAAATGAAATCAGGAGAACAAACACTGCCAAGGGAGACGACAGACAATTATAAAAGTCGCTGGAAAGATGGGAGGGCACACCCAGCTCATCATGAGAGGCAGATACTCAGGTTTATACCTTTAAGGACCTGTGTTGATGTCTCCTTGGCTATTTGTGTGTGAGTGGTGGGTGACAATAGTATTTATTGTGTTTTCTCTAAGGAGAATGTTCACTTTTCCCTCAGATGGCTGGGAAAGATGTTAATGGGTTTCAGAGGCTTTTAAAGACTTGCACATTTTTAAGACATGTGATTAAGAATTAGATCTAAAGTCGTACTGTAGAGGAGAGAGCACTGGACTCGGATGAGGTATGTGCTAAGAGTCTGTGGAGGGAGGGGAAGCTTTTTTGTTATTAAAAAAAAAACACTTTTTATTAAGTAAAACTTTACATTTAGAATTTCCAAGTTTACAAATATCTTTAGGATACATACATTTGTCCTTAAAATATACAAAGTATATACAGACATTAGAAACTCAGTGTGCAAAGTACTTAAGAAAGATGTCAGAATGACACTTGTAGAACTGCCCTAGGAGTTTCTTCTTCTCTTGGGCAGACAGCTTTGAGTCCTCATCGATGGTCTTCAGTGAGGCCAACATTTCATCCTTGGTGGTCTTCTGGGCACTGTTGGAACAGCCACTTTGATCAGTGACAAGAAGCTTCGATCACTGACAGTCCCAGAAGCCAAGCAGTGATGAGCCAGTGTGATGCAATCAGAGAACACATTGTCCTAAATTAACATTTAGGACAGCATAAAGAGAAAGGGGAGAAACAACACAGAGCAAGAAAGAGAGTGGCAAAGGAGCCGTGAGGGAGCGGGGCAAGAGAGAGGAGAGGACCTAGGGATAGAGCGCAGTTGAAGGGGGTTGCCAGGACACAGGACATGGGGTACAGGTACTTTGAGGGTACCTAGGAAATAAGGTACAGTGAGATTCCCAGGACTTTTTGTAAGTATCTGAGCGGTTTTTGCTTTTCAATTTGATTTCCAAGCCTTTGTATGTTCTATAAAAATCTGCACGTATGTTAGCTTGCATGTGGCACCCCCTTCCCACTAGCGGTTTGCATTGAAGATGTTTACGTAGCATCCTCCTTTGTCAGGCCTATTTGGCAAATGTTTATCGAGTTTCTTTGTATTTGGTGGTATACTAAGTGATAGCAAGAGAGATGGCTTTTGCACGGGGGAGTGGACTGGGGGAGGTGGCCTAGGAATGTCAGGATAATTCACGCACAAGGACTGTGGGACAGAGAAAAGGCGCGTTATCTAACTCTCCCATCTTCTCCTAGGCGTTCATTTGCTTGATGAGGCTTGCCTCAGAGTCAGAGATTGGGATGGTCTAGAAGCGGTAAATCCTTGTAGGAAGCTAGAACTGAGCAACAACCAAAGCCTAGAGGCCACGAATAAAAACAGGAAGCTCTCCAGCGCTTGTTAACCATCCAGGAAATCTTTCTCAGGTTGTAGATTATTACAATACCCCGGTACTAAATTTCACCTTAGTTTGAAAAATTGTTACACTTTTTGAAGTTTCTTAGAGAGTTAGTGCTGGCTTGGGTGAAACTTCCTGAAGAATAGAGTTTTGTTTTCTCAAGGATGCGGTATCATCAGAAATAAGGAGATGGGAAGATGTTTCCAAGACGTCAATGACATCATATAATTGTGTCGAATTGGCTGTGTAATAATATGACTTAAACTTAATAATATGACTTAAACAGGTTGAGCATTCTTATTCTGGAAATCCAGAACTT